AATTAGAATATTGAAAAAGGAGGAATTTTGGGGGGTCCTGCACAGAACGGTGACAGCTGGAAGGACGGAGCTGGAGTCCTGTCGTTCAGTACAAAACGCGAGTGCAGGAAGGAGTCAGGCTGCTGGTGGTTTGGTGGTTGGCTCTGCTTCTTCTTCACAGTCCCCTTCAATCACAGTCTCCTCTCTCCAGGACAAAAACCCAAAACTTTTGCCGCAATGAGTACAACCTGACCGGGCTGTGCAACCGCTCCTCCTGCCCGCTGGCCAACAGCCAGTACGCGACCGTCAGGGAGGAGAAAGGTGAGAGTCCAGCAACCCCTGGGGTGGGGACGGGGTGAACATCACCTGTCTGTGCACACCCTGGCTCTGAGCACCCTCCTGGTGTCAGGGACACTCTCAGTCCCTGGGGTTACACTCCATCCCCGGGGACATGGACTGGTTTGGGTGGGAAAGGACCTTAAAGATCATCTAGTTCCAACCCCCCTGCCAGCAGCAGGGACACCTTCCACTAGACCAGGTTGCTCAAAGCCTCATCCAACCTGGCCTTCAACACTTCCTCCTTTCTTTAGGTCGCTGTTACCTGTACATGAAGACAATAGAACGGGCAGCTTTTCCCCGCCGACTATGGGAGCGGGTGAGTTAACGAGAGCAGATCGTTAACCAAGAGGCAGTGGGGGGCAGGGAGCGATGGGACTCCTCCCCAGAGCAGATGTGTCCCCACTTTGTTGCTGCTCTGTAGCTCAACTCTTTACCTTCACCCCCTCCCTCAGGTCCTGCTAAACAAGAACTATGAGAAAGCACTGGAAGAGATCGATGAGAACCTCATCTACTGGCCACGGTTCATCCGGCACAAGTGCAAACAGCGGTTCACCAAGATCACCCAGTACCTCATCCGCATCCGGAAACTGACGCTCAAGCGACAGTAAGTGACAGGACTAAGAGTGACGATGCTGGTTTGGCTTAAAGCTGCTGCCCATCCACTGAGCCACTGGCACTGGCTGTAGGATCATTGAATCCCAGACTGGTTTGGGTTGGAAGGGACCTTAAAGCTCATCCAGTCCCAACCCCCCTGCCAGCAGCAGGGACACCTTCCACTAGACCAGGTTGCTCAAAGCCTCATCCAGCCTGGCCTTCAACACTTCCAGGGAGGAGCAGCCACAGCTTCTCTGGGCAACCTGTTCCAGTGTCTGACCACCCTCACAGTGAAGAACTTCTTCCTAATATCTCATCTAAACCTCCCCTCTGCCACTTTAGAGCCATTTCCCCTTGTTCTGTCATTAACTGTCCTTATAAAAGGCAGTTATATGTGGGCACAGCCCTGCTGCTCCGAGCTGTTTCCCTGAGGCTTTGGCAGGCTGGTAACTGAACCTGGCTGAGATGGATTTAACTGAGTGTAGCCTGAGTATATAAATGAAATTAAACTGGATGCAGCCACATTTCTAATGATGTAACTGCTGCTTGTTGTCCTAAATGAACATTTGTTGATGCAAGAGGCTGACAGATTCACTGACTCCCACGTGTTGTTCCCTGCAGGAGGAAGCTCGTTCCTTTACGCAGAAAGATTGAAAGACGAGAGAACAGAAGAGAGGTAACACCACTCCTTCATGTCATCTCCTGTCTGTTCCTTCTGTTCTAAATCTCTTCCAAAAACCTGACACAGCTCCTCTTTGCTCCCTTAGGAGAAAGCCCTGATTGCTGCTCAGCTGGAAAATGCCATTGAGAAGGAATTGCTGGAAAGACTGAAGCAGGACACAGTAAGGATCGCTGCCCTCAGAGCACGGCAGTAACACTGCCCCTGCTGCCCTCTGTCCTGCGGGTTCTCCAGGGAGGGACACGGGTGTTGGTATGAGAGAAGCATCACCCATGTGGGAGGCGTAGGGGACAATTGCTGCCCTTCTTGTCTGGCTTCAACACGGGCTGGAGAACTTCCCCAAAACACAGAGCCCCTTGTTTTTTTCTGTAGAGCTGCACACACTTCAGAATTGGGGTTTGGTTCTGCCTCCATGCAGGCCCCAGGCTTTAGATGATCCCACCACCAGCTGTCTTCCCCCTGTGACTCACAGAACATCCACATTTTCCTTTTCAGTATGGAGACATTTACAACTTCCCCATCCACGCCTTTGACAAAGCTCTACAACAGCAAGATGCAGAAAGCGAGAGCGAGTCCGATGCAGAGAAGGAGGAAGATGATGATGAGGATGAGGTAATGCTTTCTGCCATGGCACCACAGTTAATCCTTCCCTGACCTGGTGCTGCATCTTTAATTCAATTACATTCTGGGCGTTGTAGTTGAATGTTGGGGTGAGAAGCGATTAGGAGAGGTGAACTCAGGAAAAGCACCTGTGTGCTAAGTGGTGGCCTTGGTGGCTCTTCCATTGCGAGCTGGGACACTGGATGGTGCTCAGTGTGTGTGCACTCACTAACTTCTGACTTTTATTTCTTACAGGACATGGATAAAAGAGAGTTTGTGGAAGCAGATGACAGTGACCTCAGTGACTTTGAGGTAGGTGAAGCACCAGGTACAAACTGTCAGGCCAAGCTGTTTGAAAGTTACCTTCACCTCTTTGGTGTCTCTGGTGATGAGATAAAAGTCAGTGAAATCAGATTTGTGGAACATAACGATACAGTCAGACTACACCATATCTCCTACAACCCAACTCCTCTGGCTGCATAGCTGGGAGCCAGAGAATTATAAAATGGAATCAGATACACGAGATAATTTTGTGGAAAGAGGAGGTTTAGTTACACAGCGTGCTTTGACATCACTCTTGTCTGTCTTTCTCAGGACATGGATAAGTTGGAGACAAGTAGTGAAGAGGAGCAGGAAGAAGAAGAAGTAGAGAAGAAAGCCTCTCACTCCAAATCTAAGGGGAAAACTCCCCTGAAAGGACCAACCAGAAGAAAACGTCCCTACATTGAAATAGAGTACGAAGAAGAAACGGAGCCAACCGCCAAAACAACAGCAGCTTGACTCCTTCCTGAACTCACATGTCGTACTGAACCACAGGACTCCACATCTGTCCTTCCAGCTCTCAACAGTCTGTGCAGGACCCTCCAAAATTCCTCCTTTTTCAATATTCTAATTACTGTATTTTTTTAAAGAAAAGGAGGATTCCTGTCCTGACCCCAGGCAATTGCTGCAAGTTTGTACAACTCCTGCACGAAGCACAGTTTGAAGGAAGGCTCCCTGCCTTTTCTCCAACCACACAAGGCTCAGCTTGGACTGTGCTCCAGGAAGGAACCTGGACAGGGGGGGCACTGCTGCTTTGTTCTAAAGCTGGAGAAGCCCAGGTGTGCCTAGACAAGCACCCAAGCCTTGTCTTGCTTGGGGGAGGGATGGGGCTAACAGGGGTGGGATGACAAAGACAGTGACTTTAAATAAATAAATGAATTTTACTGTACAAAAAGCGGGTGAGCATTGATCAGACACGGCTCACGTGTTCTCCTGCACTTTTCTGAGGCATTCCTTCAGGCTGTTCTCCTCACAGCTGCTGTACACACCTTCCAGCAGGACCTGAAACAACAAAAGCATCAATTTCCTCTGCCTTGGCACACTCGGGTTTATGGTGTTATCAGCCTTCCCCAGCTGTCTGTTGGAAGAGAATTACACAAAGTATGTATAGATACCTGTCGAGATGTATCGAGTCACTTACCAATCCAGTCAAGTACTGGGGTTGAGGTGGTGGAAATGATGATTTCATAGAATCACAGAATCCCAGACTGGTTTGGGTTGGAAGGGACCTTAAAGCTCATCCAGTCCCAACCCCCCTGCCAGCAGCAGGGACACCTTCCACTAGACCAGGTTGCTCAAAGCCTCATCCAACCTGGCCTTCAACACTTCCAGGGAGGAGCAGCCACAGCTTCTCTGGCCAACCTGGGACACTGTCTCACCACCCTCACACCAAAGAATTTCTTCCTAATATCTCATCTAAACCTCCCCTCTTCCAGTTTAAACCCATTTCCCCTTGTTCTATCATTAACTGCCCTTATAAAAGTCCCACCCCAGCTTTCTTGTAGCCCCTTCAGGTACTGGAAGGCCACTAGAAGGTCTCCTTGGAGCCTTCTCTTCTCCAGGCTGAACAGCCCCAACTCTCAGCCTGCTCAAAATACTGTTGGACTGAGGAAGCGAGCGGGCTCTCGCGTGCACCTCGCTGCCCTTTCTAAAGGGGAAGGGATCGCAGATGAAGCGGTGCTGGGTCCCCATCTCACCTTCACTTGCCCTTCAGAGCAGCGATCCAGCAGGATGAGGCATTCAGTGGCCCCTTGAAGCAAAGCAGTTTTTACTGGCTGTGGCGTTGAGCTTTGGTCAGTGTGTACGTCCCACATCATCTTCAGCAGGGCTTGGAGGAGCACAGGGAGCCTGCACGGCATCCTGCAAAGGGACACAGCAGCTGCACCTTAATCACATCCTCTTCACATCCCAGGGGAAAGCAGAGCCTTGCTGAGCAGCTCCTACACTGCAGGCAGGAGCTGCCAGTTGCCATTTACACGGTGAGCAGGACTGTAACTGCCCCGAGATCAGCAACTGCTCCAGCGATGAGGCTGAAGAAGCTGCCTCATTCGACCTGCTCACCAGAGGGAGGACACAGGCCCTGAACACAGAGGCCACCTGAATTCACAGCACAGGGTTTACTCCACAGTCCTGCTGTGCAGAGAACATGGATTTAGTTTTTAGGCAAGTTGATGCTTCTAGCAAAGGCAGAAGTCAAATCAAAATGAGGACTCAGCTTTATTTCTGGGCCAGGTTTTTCAGCAAAGCAGTAATGCCAGCGATTCCTCCCGGTGACAGATTCTCCCTCAAGATTTTTCCCTCAGGCAGCAATACCTTTGGCTCTGAAGGAGGGAAACCATTTGGGATATTCTTTCTATAATTTAGTCTTTCACCTCCCAACAGGTACCTGGGCCAGGCATGCTCTATGGTGCACTGCAGTGTCTCCAGTATTCCCAGTCGGGCTTCTTCCTCAGGACCATCACAGACTTCCAGATACCCCAGGATAACTCGCTCCAGCCTCTTCAGATGCCGCACGATCAGGATGCCAAGTCTGTCAACACAAAGAAACACACAGTGAGGAGTGAGATGTGCACCAAGGCCAAAGCAAGTCCCTGCAGGGCTGTGGTGGCTGCTCTCACCTCTGCACGAAGGCAGGCAGGGTCCTGGCGTACACCCGCCGCAGCGCCAGGCGATGCTCTGCCTCCATGTGCGTCAGAACCAGCTGCAGCACCTCATCGCAGCGAGCGGTCGGTCTCGTCTCCTGCTGCTGCCGCTGGGCTCTCTCCAGGATCGGCAGCAAGTCCAGCAGGCACAGCAGTACTGCCTGGTTTGGTGTGAGACAGGAAAGCTGGGCAATTCTGCTGATGTTCTCTCCAAAACACCAGTAACTTCCAACCCTGCTGACCGCCCACAGCTCTGCGGTTCACCTGACAGACCCGGCTACTTCTACTACCCGTTACCAGCCCCCTCCAGTGAGGCTGCCACCTGGAAAGGGACAGGAGGCAAAAGATTGTCCCTCCATTTTTGAGATTTTCCTGAAATCTACTGAATTACTTTGTCTCTTGGCCACAATCATCAGCTAATAACAGCCTGAGTGGACTGTCTGCAAGGAAACAGCTTCTGCTTCCTCGTGCCTTAAGCTGGCTATCGTGGGGCTGATACACAATGAAGTAAAATGAGGTTCTGCTGTCCTACCTGGATGAGAGGAGCCTCACGTGAGTAGAGATGGTTGTAAAGGGCATGGTACACAACCTGAGCCCTGTTGAACTGGCACAGATCAGCAGCTGGCTGCAACAAGAGAGAACGTTATTCCTGTGCATCCCATTTGGCACCTGCTTAACCTGGTAAAAGAGACCAGCCTGCAAAAACCCAGGTCTTATAAAAAAACCCCTGGGTCTTATAAAAAAAACCCTGCATGTACTGTGCATGAGGAGCACTGCTGACAAGAAAGTAGGAGCAGGTGCTACAATAAACACACTGCTCTTCTGCAGTTCCACTGGTATGACTTAAATTCTTTGTTTAGTTTTAACTGATGTAAGAACTACACATGTTTAAACACATGGGGACAGGATGGAAGATGGAGGAGGATTAATAAATTAACAGCAGAACCAGGATTACAAGTTTGGAATCCTAACAAGTGTCCAACCCACCCTTCCTTCAAACAACACCCAGAAAGGGATCTAATGTCTCAAATCACTTACCACGTTCAGAATGATATGGTGCAGGCAGCGCACACCCAGGAGCTTATTCTCCTCCTGGTAGTCGTCCGAGAGGAGCAGCGCTGGCGGGAGGACACGCTCCAGGTACCGGCTGAGCCAGGGCCGGGTGACATGAAACAGTGTCCAGGAGAACACGTGCTTTGTGGAGGGGTCACACTTCCAGGTGTCTCTGGAGATACAAACGTCAGCTCAGCCAAGACTGGAACTAACACTCATTTCCTACATGTTTGTGCCTCTCAGCACAGTCAGGTCTGACCGATTCCCCCCCCACCAGCTTCCAGTACTGGGGATTTGTAAAGCTCTGGTCAGATTTATCACCTAGTGTCTCCTAATACCCGAGGTCACATGCTTTCCCCAAATTTCCAGTGTTTCCTAGACAGAGACCAGCCAAACACACCACCCTCTCCACTGCTGCCCTCCCCTTCCTGCTCACCTGGTTAACTCCCGTTTCAGGAGCCCCATCACTGCTGCAAATCTCCCCTCCTCATCTTCATTCTGTCCTCGAAGGAATTCAGCCACTGACTCGCAGTCTGCAGCCCGGATCAGCGACGCCAGCAGCTCCTGTGCCACCAACTGAGACCTGGCGTTTGTCCAGGGCCTCTCCACGATATGTGTCACAGCAAAGATGTAGATGGGTCCCACCACACGGTGGAGAATTGGACCCACCACGGGGACACCCAGGGACTCCTGAG